CAAGTCAACCCCAACCCACCCCCGCTATGCCCACTAAGCCACGCTCCTCAGTGCCACCCCTTGGAGACGGTGACCCCCCCACCTCCCTGCACCTGACCACACATTTTTCCTAAACCCAGGCAGGAGCTGTGGCCTTGTTTGAGCACCCCATGCTACAAAGGCATTGTGAGACACAGCAACACAGCCAGAACGCTGAAAACAACCCAGCTTGGTGGCAAGCTCAACCCCACGAGCTCTAACAGGGACAGCAGCTCGCATGAGCGCCGCTTCCCCCCTCACTCACGTGCTGCAGCATCACGCCCCTGACGATGGAGCGGGCGCAGAGGACGAAGGACAGCGAGCAGACGAGGATGACGACGACGTCGAAGAACAGCCGGAAGGAGTTGTCACCTCCAGGAGGCACACTGACATCAAAGAGTGGCCCCAGCCAGCACAGCCTGCCCTCTGGGGACAGATGCCACCTCCGTGGCCACCGACGCAGCTCCTACCTCGGCCGAAGACGCTGTGGTCTTTGCACTCCTTGATGTCAGCCCGGTTGTCCAGGCGGATTTTCACCCGGCCGCTGTGCGCCTTGTTGTCAAACGTGATCTGGGAGAAGGGAGTTGCTTGTGAGGGACGACCCCCAGCCCCTGCGCCAGCCCTGCTCACGCTTTGCACTCACGGTGATGGTGAAGGTGTAGCAGTCTGGGATTTCGTTGTTGATGATGGTCTGGATGTTGATGGCTTTCAGCTTGAATTGGATGGTGACGTTGATGAGCCTGTGGGAAAGGGGGGGGACGTTCACTAAGAGCCCTCCTGGGGCAAATCCAGAGCGCAACACAGCCCTGCACCAACCCCCAAAACGCAGCGCTGAGTCAAACAGCCGCAGCAGTGGAGAAATGTCTGCTTTGGGGCTGTGCACGGCCACAGGAGAAGGCATTGCAGGGCCAAACCGCAGCCTCAGCATCAGTGAATTGGGCTTCGGGGGGAAGCTACGCTGCATCTCTCAGCAGCAGCAGCGCTGCTGTCCTTCTGTCCAGCACCACCACCAACAACATGGAGCTGAAACAACGACCTGATTGTGCTGAAAACCTGCCCCCGGGCCACCAAAACAAGGCAGTTTTGAGGGAAGGAAACAACCCTCAACCCTGTGTATTGCAGGGTAGAAACGGAGCCTCGGGGCCAGCTCTGCAGCCAACACCGACAGGAGACAGGGCCGGAAAGCAGCTGCTTCTTGTGCAATCGCTCTGGTTTCACATCTCCCCCGGCCCAAGGGCAGATTTGTTTCTCTCCTATGAGGGTTTTAAGTGGTTTTTCATCCTGGCAGCGAGCCTGAGGCTCAAAGCACGAGGAAGTCCACAGGTCGGGCGCGTGCTCAGCACCTGAAGGCTGCAGGGAAGGCAACGGCCATTACTTGTGAAATTTGAAGGTGAAGTTCTTGTAGCTGCGGTCCAGCTCTGGGGGCAGGGGATGTGGGTCCTCGGGGTCCACTCCCAAGCAGTCTGCAGGGAGGGAGAAACACCTTCAGGGAAGCCCGAAGACCCCAAGAGACCCCCCGGTCCTTCTCAAATCCACAGCGAGTAGCAAACCAAAAACCCACGGCGGCCACAAATCCCCCCCTCCCTCCAAGACCCAGAGATGCTGTGGGATGGCTGAGCTCAGCCCCAGCCGTCCCTAAAACCAACCTGTGACAATCTTGGGGTCGATGTTGAAGGTGTCGTTGGCCGGATCGATGCGCCCCCTGCGATAGTACTGCTGGCACAGCACGAGGGCCGACTGGTTGCCCCCGCTCTGCCCTCGCACGTAGGCGTAGCGGCCGATGGTCTCGTTGGGAATGGCCAAGTACTGGGGAAGGAGACGCTCTCAGGAGCTGGATGCGTTCCCAAGCATCTTCCCTTCTCCACAGCCCCGTTTTCTGGCGGCTCTCACCTTGTCCACGGCATAAAACACGCGCTCATAGAGGTCGTGTTGGGTGTAGACAGCATAGGAGTCGTCGGCGCCGTCCACGTAGTCCTTCAGGAAGAGGTGCTTGAAGGCGATGGTGTTCTCCTCCTTGAAGGTCACCACCATCTGGTTGCTGAGCCCAAAGAGGATGAGCTGACAGATAAAGGGACCAGGATTAAATCCCGCAGCCGGCGGCTCTGCGAAACGGACCCAAAAATGCAGCCACGCCAGCCCAAAAGGTGGAACTTGGTCTCCCAGGAAGGAGAACGGCATCAACCTCTGCGTGGGGGTCCTGAGAAGACGAGGAGCAGCTCCGTGTCTCCACTTCTCCGCCTGTTTTCCACCCAAAAGCTCTTAAGCCAACGCTTAACACTGCTGATTTCCTGCCGCCGAGCACAGCGGGGACCCACATGGGGCTCCATGGGGACCCTCAGTGCCACCCCAGGCACAGCAGCAGAGGGAGCGCCGATTCCCCACCTCTCCACCGGCATTTTGCCCTGCCCACACGCTCTAAGCCTTTTCCCACCCCGCTAATTACCCTGTGTTTATCAACAGGAGACGATTACACTTGTGTAGATCAGCACAAGAGGCTGCTGTCAGCACGAGGGGTGGGGACAGGACGGGTCGCTCTGGGTGACGCGGGCAGCCCTCACATGCCAGCTTTTTCCTCCCTCATGACTACAACCCACTGCCTCCAGCAGTTTTTCTCTGCTACCCCCACGAGGGGGGCGGTTTTCTTTCTGCCTTTCTTTTTAGGGGCACCCTGAGTGTCCCCAGACACCCCAGCCCTCTCCTTTCCATCATCCCAGTCACTCCAGGGACACTCAGACTGCCCACAAGGGCCCAGCGCACCCCACAGCGTCCCCACGTCTCGCCAGGCGTTCCCTCCTACATCCCCACGCCCAATGCCCCCCTCAGGGGTCCCCTCCTGTGCCCTGTCACCCCCACATCTCCTCACTCCACGCTCAGGGCTCTACGCATCACTCAAGTGACCCCTTCCCTTCCCTTTGCGCCCAGTCCCTTGGTGTCTCCTCTCCCAGGGCTCCTCTACGATGCCCCCATGCCCCAAAACATTCCTGCACCTCCCCCAGTGTCCCCACGCCCACAGTCCTTCGCTGTCCCTTTCTCAGTGTCCCCAAGCCTCCTCGTCTTCAGTCTCCCAGCATTCATCACCCCCTCCATGGCATCCCCAAGCCCAGGGGATGACCCCCCTCCCTCCCCCATCACTGCCCCCAGGACTCCCAGTATCCAGTGGTGCTCCCAAGACTCAGGGCCACCTCACTCCAGCATCCCAATGCCTTCTGTCCCTTCAATATCCCTTTTTTGGTGTCCCCAAGCCTCCAGGGCTCCTCAGAATCCCAATGCCTGCTGTTCTTCCCTGTTGTCCCCAAGCCCCACAGCATCTCTCCCCATCTCCCAGTGCCCACTGCCCCCTTCTTGGCATCCCCAAGCCCCCAGGACTCCTCAGAGTCCCATTGCCTGCTGTGCCTTCCTTCCTATCCCCAGACCCCACAGCATCTCTCCCTATGTCCCAATGCCTTCTGTGCCCCCAGTGTCCCCTTCTTGGTGTCCCCAAACAACCAGGACTCCTCAGAATCCCAATGCCTGCTACCCACAAGCCCCAAAACTATCTCACCCCATGTCCCCATGCCCACTGTTGCCTCAGTGTCCCCTTCATGGTGTCCCCAAGCCCCCAGGACTCCTCAGAATCCCATTGCCTGCTGTGCCTTCCTTCCTATCCCCAAGCCCCACAGTATCTCTCCCCATGTCCCAATGCCCATTATCCCCTCAGTGCTCCCTTATTGGCATCCCCAAGCCCCCAGGACCCCTCAGAATCCCAATGCCCCCTGTCCCCAACCCTCAGAGCACCCCTCCCCACGTCCTAACGCCCATTACCCCCTCAGCGTCCCCTCTCCACAGCCCTGACACCCCATACCCACTCTCCCCCACTGCCCCCATACCCAACCCCCCTCCGCAGTGCCCCCAAACCCCACAGCTCCCTCGCCAGCATTCCTACGACCGCTGCCCCCTCCTCGGTGCCTCCACCTTCCACCCTCCTTCCTCTCACCGCCCTCCTCTGGTCCCCCCCAGCCCCATTCCCCCATTCCGCCCCCCGGCCCCACCTGCACGGTGACCAGCAGGATCTTGGCCAGCTGCAGCCCGAGCTTCACGGGCCGCCGCCCCCTCGCCCGGTACTTATCGCAGGGGCTCATGAAGAAATACTTCAGGCGGCGCCGCAGCTCCTCCTCCTCCTCTTCCTCCTCCACCGCCGGAGCTTCCGTCGCTCCATACCCGGGCGCACGGCTCAGCAGCCGCTCCGTCTCTGAGGGGATCGGGTGAGTGAGGGGCCGGCACCGCGGGATCCCCCCGCTCCGCTCCCCCCATCGCCGCCCTCGGCCTCCGCTCACCGGATGGGGCCGCCATGACGCCGCCACTGCGCGGCTTCGGCCGCCCCCCTCACGTGACCGGAAGACACCGCCCCGCTCTTTGGCCAAGCCTATTCAGCCCTAACCCCCCCCAATGGCTGCTAAGTATGCCGTAGCCCCGCCCATTGGTTGCTATGCTACTGTAGCCCCGCCCACTCGTTGCTATGGTAATGTAGACCTCCCCCACTCGTTGCTATGATACAGTGACCCAGCCCACTCGTTGCTATGGTACCGTAGCCCCTCCCCCTGGTTGCTATGGGACTGTAGCCCCGCCCATTTGTTGCTATGATACCATACCCCCCCCACACACTCGTTGCTATGACGCAGTGACTCCACCCACTGGTTGCTATGGTCCCATAAACCCCGCCCACTGGTTGCTATGCTCCCGTATCTCCACCCATTCGTTGCTATGATACAGTGACCCCGCCCACTGGTTGCTATGATACCATAGCCCCGCCCACTCGTTGCTATGCACTCTGGTGATGCTGTAGGACAGGAGGGCTGCTCTCATGCTCCACCCCATGACCTCTGACCCCTCCAGTGCCCTCTGACCCCACGTCCCATCCTTTCCCACGCGTGCCCCTTGCCCCATGGACGTCCCCACCACCCAGGCCAGCCTCCCCTCCGCCCCACATCACCACCACCACGCCGTCCCGGCTGTGCCGCCATTTATTCCTCACTTGGGCAGGACTGTTCCCCACAACCCCCCTCCTCAGGGCATCCCCGACAGCGGCTCCAGTTGCAGCCAGAGCCCGTCTTCAGCACGAAGGATCAGCTCAGTCCTGCGGCGCACCGGCCTCGCCGGGTCTGGCCTGACGGCGAAGTGTGCGAGGGTCAGCGCCGCCACCACCTTCAGCTCAGCCATGGCGAAGCTCTGCCCGATGCAGTTCCTGCCACCAACATCCCCACGTCACCGCGGGGCCATTGCTTTCCCCATGACCATCTCTGGCCGCCACCACCTCACGGCCAACTGTCCTGATGGCCACCACCATCCCATTTTCCACATCACCACCCCATGGCCCAACATTCCCATGGCCACCATCATTCCATCGGCCATTACCACCAATTTATGGCCAACATTCCCCATGGCCACCATCCTACTGTCCACACCACCACCCCATGGCCAACATTCCCACGGCCACCATCATTCCATTGGCCATTTCCACCACCTTATGGTCACCAACCTGTGTCCAACATTCCCCATGGCCACCATCCTATTTTCCACAGCATCACCCCATGGCCAACATTCCCATGGCCACCATCATTCCATTGGCCATTTCCACCACCATATGGTCACCAACCTGTGTCCAACATTCCCATGGCCACCATCCCATTTGCCACACCACCACCCCATGGATAACCTTCCCTACGTCCACCATCATTCCATTGCCCACATCATCACCCCATAGCCAACATTCCCATGGCCACCATCATTCCATTGCCCACACCATCACCCCATAGCCAACATTCCCCATGGCCGCCATCATTCCATTGCCCACACCATCACCCCATAGCCAACATTCCCATGGCCACCATCATTCCATTGCCCACACCATCACCCCATAGCCAACATTCCCCATGGCCACCATCATTCCATTGGCCATTACCCTATGCCCAACATTCCCATGGCCACCATCCCATTTTCCACACCATCACCCCATGGCCCAACATTCCCCTCGGCCACCATCATTCCACTGGCCATTACCACCTACTTATAGCCCATATTCCCCATGGCCACCATCCCATTGGCCACATACCACCCCATGGCCAACATTCCCCATGGCCACCATCATTCCATTGGCCATTTCCACCACTTTATGGTCACCAACCTGTGTCCAACATTCCCCATGGCCACCATCCTATTTTCCACAGCATCACCCCATGGCCAACATTCCCCATGGCCACCATCACTCCACTGGCCATTACCACCCCCTTATAGTCACCACCTACTTATAGCCCAACATTCCCCATGGCCACCATCATTCCATTGCCCACACCACCACCCCATAGCCAACATTCCCACTGCCACCATCATTCCACTGGCCATTATCACCACCTTATGCCCAACATTCCCATGGCCACCATCCCATTTTCCACATCACCACCCCATGGTCAACATTCCCCATGGCCACCATCATTCCACTGGCCATTACCACCTACTTATAGCCCATATTCCCCATGGCCACCATCCCATTGGCCACATACCACCCCATGCCCAACATTCCCCATGGCCACCATCATTCCATTGGCCATTTCCACCACCTTATGGTCACCAACCTGTGTCCAACATTCCCCATGGCCACCATCCCATTTGCCACACCACCACCCCATGGACAACCTTCCCTACGGCCACCATCATTCCATTGCCCACATCATCACCCCATAGCCAACATTCCCATGGCCACCATCATTCCATTGCCCACACCATCACCCCATAGCCAACATTCCCCATGGCCGCCATCATTCCATTGCCCACACCATCACCCCATAGCCAACATTCCCATGGCCACCATCATTCCATTGGCCATTACCCTATGCCCAACATTCCCATGGCCACCATCCCATTTTCCACACCATCACCCCATGGCCAACATTCCCCATGGCCACCATCATTCCACTGGCCATTACCACCTACTTATAGCCCATATTCCCCATGGCCACCATCCCATTGGCCACATACCACCCCCTGGCCAACATTCTCCATGGCCACCATCATTCCATTGGCCATTTCCACCACCATATGGTCACCAACCTGTGCCCAACATTCCCATGGCCACCATCCCATTTTCCACACCACCACCCCATAGCCAACATTCCCCATGGCCACCATCATTCCACTGGCCATTATCACCACCTTATGCCCAACATTCCCATGGCCACCATCCCATTTTCCACACCATCACCCCATGCCCAACATTCCCACGGCCACCATCATTCCACTGGCCATTATCACCTACTTATAGCCCATATTCCCCATGGCCACCATCCCATTGGCCACATACCACCCCATGGCCAACATTCTCCATGGCCACCATCATTCCATTGGCCATTTCCACCACCTTATGGTCACCAACCTGTGTCCAACATTCCCCATGGCCACCATCCCATTTGCCACACCATCACCCCATGGCCAACATTCCCCATGGCCACCATCATTCCACTGGGCATTACCACCACCTTATGCCCAACATTCCTATGGCCACCATCCCATTTTCCACACCATCACCCCATAGTCAACATTCCCATGGCCACCATCATTCCATTGGCCATTACCACCCTCTTATGCCCAATATTCCCCATAGCCACCATCCCATTTTCCACACCACCACCCCATGGCCAACATTCCCCATGGCCACCATCATTCCACTGCCCACACCACCAACTTACAGCCAACATTCCCCATGGCCATGCCAAACTGTGTGGTCACCACAACTACAGAGTCAGGGTGACAACCGCCTGCCATGCCATCACTGTCCTGATGACCAACACCATTCCATTGGCCACTGCCACCACCCTACGGCCAACTGGTCCAATGGCCACCGTCATTGCATTGGCCATACCACCACTATATGGCCAAATGTTCCCATGGCCACACCAAAATTTGTGGTTCCCATGGTGACCACAGAGCCAGGGTGACAACCAGCCCTTCTTGGCATCACGGTCTCCATGGCCGCCACCATTCCATTGGCCACCACCACCACACTTCGGCCAACTTTTAACACGACCACAACAAAATGTCTGGTCCCCATGATGGCATCAAGGTGAGAACTACTTCCTGGGGTGGTGGGGGTGGCACATGGGAACACTTGTGTCCCCCCCATGGTTCACCAGTGTGCTCCCATGGCCACCACCACCCCCTTGACTACACCACCATTCCCGTGGCCACATCAACATCTGTGGTTCCCATGACGACCACAGGATCAAGGTGACAACCACCTCTTCTTGGCACGACTTTCCCCACGGCCACCTCCATTCTGTTGGCCGCACCACCACACTACGGCCCCCCGTGCCAAAATGTGTGGTCCCCATGATGGCATCAAGGTGACAACCACCTCCTGGGTGCTGGGGGTGGCACGTGGGAACACTCGTGTCCCCTCCATGGCTTACCTGGGCCCAGCAGAGAAAGGAATGAAGGCCAGCGGGGGACCGTCCCTGGCTGTTCTCTGGGCTGAATCTCATTGGGTTGTAGACCTGGGACGACAAGGACATCAGCAGACGGTGGGTGACATGGAGGTGGTGATGGGGGCATCCCGCTGTCCCACGGCCACGTCGTGGTGGACTCGTGGCTCTACCTCTGGCTCAGGCCAGATATCCGGATTGTGGTGGGTTCCATAGATGCTCATCATGCAGATGACCCCTAGAGGGACAGAAACGTCTGCGTTACGGACGTGAAACAAGGAGGGATGGGGACAACATGGATGTCGTGCCCCACACGAGCCGCACCCTTGGGGATGACGCGTCCATCACGAGTGGCGATGTCCTCAGTGCAGCACCGGGACACGGCGGTGACAGGCGGGTGCAGGCGAAGGCTCTCCTTGATGCACATGGTGGTGAAGGGCAGGAGGGACAGATCCTCCCTTGGGGGGCAAAGGATGGTGGCGCCGCGTTCCCCGAGCTGCGTGGCGGGGAGGGACGGCGGGGATCTCTCACCATTCGATCTCCTCCGCGTCCCTGCCCTTGAGGAGCTGACGGACCTCCTGACGGCACTGCTCCTGGTAGTCTGGGTGGTGGGCCAGGTTGTAGAGCAGCCAGGCCAACCCGCTGGCCGTCGTGTCGTGCCCTGTAGGGGCGTGGGGTGAGTGGGGGGGGGGGGGGACAACACGGGGTCCCCCGTGGCAGCAGGTGGCCTTCCCTCACCCTCGAACATGAAGGTGTCAGCTTCGGCTGCGATGTCCTCGTCGGACAGAGTGTTGCCGTCCTCATCCTGCAAGGGTGACAAGTGGCAGGCAAATGGTCTCCCGATGGCCACCATGTGACACTCAACCCTCTCCAACGCCTTCGTGGCCACCAACGGTCATCCCGGGGCAACCAGAATAGGGCCAGTCCTTAATAAGGCCACTGTTACCCTCATGATCACCACGGTTCTCATGCCAACAGTCTACAGCCAGCGCTGCCCCATGGCGCCACCATCCCACTGGTCACTACCACCACATTACAGCTGGCTTTTGCCGTGGCCGCCACACTGTAGCTGCCAACCCTTCCAAAGGCCACCAGTGTCCTGCTGTGACCCCCACCATATGGCCAAAACATCCCACGGCCACCACCATTCTCTTGGCGCACACCATCTCCTCTTGACCCCCTCATCTTATAATCAACCTTCCATTCGGCCACCTCACTACAGTCAATCTCCTCCACTGTCCCGACCTTTCTTTTGCTCACCACAATCTCCCTAGGGCCCCTATGACCTCCTCCATAGCCCCAGCCCCACGGCCACCCACCTCCATAGTCCCAATCCTCCTCTTGCACACCATGACATCTTGGTGTCCACCATGCCCTCCCTACGGCCACCATCCTACAACCAACCCTCTCCACGGCTGCCACAGTCTCCCTATGGCCACCACGACCTTTAGTGGCCACCACCTTACAGCCAGCCCACCCCACGACCACCGCTGTTCTCTTGGCCATCACCACTTCCTTACCAACGTCCATTCCCTTATGGCCACAATCCATTCCCTCCCTGTGGCCCTATGACCTCCTCAGGGTCAATATTTTCCATAGCCCCAACCTTATGGCCAATCACCTCCATAGTCCCAACCCTCCTCTTGCACACCATGACCTCTTGGTGTCCACCATGCCCTCCCTACGGCCACCATCCTACAGCCAACCCTCCCCACGGCTGCCACAGTCTCCCTATGGCCACCAGGACCTTTAGTGGCCACCACCCTACAGCCAGCCCTCCCCACGACCACCGCTGTTCTCTTGGCCATCACCACTTCCTTGCCACATCCATTCCCTTATGGCCACCCTCTCCACAGCCATTGTGACCTCCCCATGGCCAATACTCCCCATAGCCCCAACCCTATGGCCAATCACCTCCATAGTCCCAACCCTCCTCTTGCACACCATGACATCTTGGTGTCCACCATGCCCTCCCTACGGCCACCATCCTACAGCCAACCCTCCCCATGGCTGCCACAGTCTCCCTATGGCCACCAAGACCTTTAATGGCCACCACCCTACAGCCAGCCCACCCCACGACCACCGCTGTTCTCTTGGCCATCACCACTTCCTTACCAACATCCATTCCCTTATGGCCACAATCCATTCCCTCCCTGTGGCCCTATGACCTCCCCATGGTCAATATTCTCCATAGCCCCAACCTTATGGGCCAATCACCTCCATAGTCCCAACCCTCCTCTTGCACACCATGACCTCTTGGTGTCCACCATGCCCTCCCTATGGCCACCATCCTACAACCAACCCTCCCCATGGATGCCACAGTCTCCCTATGGCCACCAAGACCTTTAGTGGCCACCACCCTACAGCCAGCCCTCCCCACGACCACCGCTGTTCTCTTGGCCATCACCACTTCCTTGCCACATCCATTCCCTTATGGCCACCCTCTCCACAGCCACTGTGACCTCCCCATGGCCAATACTCCCCATAGCCCCAACCCTATGGCCAATCACCTCCATAGTCCCAACCCTCCTCTTGCACACCATGACCTCTTGGTGTCCACCATGCCCTCCCTACGGCCACCATCCTACAGCCAACCCTCCCCACGGCTGCCACAGTGTTCCTATGGCCACCATGACCTTTAGTGGCCACCACCTTACAGCCAGCCCACCCCACGACCACCGCTGTTCTCTTGGCCATCACCACTTCCTTACCAACGTCCATTCCCTTATGGTCCACAATCCAGAGCCCTCCCTGTGGCCCTATGACCTCCCCATGGCCAATACTCCCCATAGCCCCAACCCTATGGCCAATCACCTCCATAGCCCCAACCCTCCTCTTGCTCCCGACGGCCACTACCCTACAACCAATCACCCCCACAACCCCAACCATCCCCAACCTCCATCCCCTTCCCCCACCTTGGTGAGCAGCAGGAGGTCGATGAAGTCCGCGCTCCGTCCCTGCTTGCTTTTCAGCCATGCCTGATGGCCGAGGCCGTTGAGTTCCTGGCGCCGGCGCTGCACCACGTTGGCAGTGAAGCTGTGCACCGTGGCGCAGGCTGCGGGCGAAGCGCCGTCCGTCGGCTGAGAGCCGGTAGAGCCACGAGGCGTAATGAGCAGGCGCTGCTGCCTCTGCAACCACCAGGGTGCTGAGCTCCAGGATGGCTGCGATGTATTCACTGCGCCGCCTGCGTGACAGCGTGGATCCCCGTGGGAATCATCGTGTCACCAACGGGGCCGTGGTGGGGATGTGGGGTGGCAACGGGGCCGAGGTGGGGTGATGCTTGAGGGGACAGCGATGAGGTGAGGGGGGGCAGAGCACAAAGGGGACCCCGGTGGGGGACTGGAGGGAGGTGGGGAAATGGGGGATCGTGTTTTGGGATAACACTAACTCAAACCCTTATCCTAACCTTAGCCTTAACCCTAGACTAACCCTAATCTTAACCCTAAGCCTAACTTCATCCCAAAGGGCAAGGAAAGGGGAAGGGGAAGGGGAAGGGGAAGGGGAAGGGGAAGGGGGGGAAGGGGAAGGGGAAGGGAAAGGGAAGTAGGAGGGGAAGGGGAAGGGAAAGGGGAAGGGGAAAGGGAAAGGGAAGAAGGGGAAGGGGAAAGGAAATGGGAACAGGAAGGGGAAAGGAAATGGAAAGAGGAAGGGGAAGGGAGAGGGAAGGGGAAGGGAAGGGGAAGAGGGAGTAAAGGGAAGGGAAGGGAAGGGAAGGGAAGGGAAGGGAAGGGAAGGGAAGGGAGGGAAGGGAAGGAAGGGAAGGAAGGGAAGGGAAGGGAAGGGAAGGAAGGGAAGGGAAGGGAAGGGAAGGGAAGGGAAGGGAAGGGAAGGGAAGGAAGGGAAGGGAAGGGGAAGGGAAGGAGGGAAGGGAAGGGAAGGGAAGGGAAGGGAAGGAAGGGAAGGGAAGGGGAAGGGATTCCATGCCATGCGATCCTAACCCTACCCCAGTTGCAATACAGTGGATCATAACACAACACAGTGCGATCACCCTAACCCTAAGACCCAAACCCTGACCCCATCCCCACTGCAGTGTAATGTTGGCATTCAGTGGTGGTGGCACCTATCTGGGGACAACGCCAGGGTAAGGGTGGTCCCTGATGGATGCCAAGCCAGAGCTGGGGGGACCTGATGAGGACCAGAGGGACCCTGGCATGGGGACGGGGCCACACTCACTCCTGGCAGCGGCTGTCGTGGCTGAAAATGCACTTCTGGAGGGTGTCGAGGGTGAGGAGGCTGAGGTCTCCAGCATGTTTCGTCCCACCGGTCCCCCCGCTGCCTTCGCTGCAGCCCTCCACTTGGTCTGTAGGGCAGGGGATGTCAGTGGATGGGGTGTAAGGGTGGGTGGGGGTCAAGGATTGGGGTCAGGGTGGGAATCGGGGTCTGAGCGAGGATCTGGGTGAGGGTCTGGGCATGGATGTGGGGGGAGGAACCAAGGTCTGGGTGAGGATCCAGGTGAGGAACTGGGATGTGGATGAGGGTCTGAGTGAGGAACCAGAATCCAGGTGAGGAATGAGGGATCTGAAACTAGAAAAAAGACTAGAAGCATCTTGAAACTAAATGATCGTTGTGGTCCTTTTCAACCCAGGCCATTCTATGGGTGCAGGATGAGTCAGGAATGAGGGTGTGGGTGAGGAACTGGGGAATGAGCGTGGATTTGGGTCAGGAATCTGAGTCTGGGCGAGGAGCTGGGGTTTGTATGGAGGTCTAGGTCAGGAAACAGGGCCTGGGTCAGGAATTTGGGTGAAGAACCAGGGTCTGGATGGGGATTTGGGGAAGGAATCCGGATCTGGATGCAGGATGATGAACAAGGGCTGGGTTGGTTTTGGGTTCTGGGTCAGGATTTGGGTAAGGAACCAGGGCCTGGGTGCAGGTCTGTGTCAGGGATGGGAGTCCAGGTGCAGGATGGGATCAGGAGTCAGGATCTGGGCCAGGATCTGGGCGAAGAACAAGGATCTGTGTGGGGATTTGGGTCAGAAACCAACATCTGGTTGAAGATCTGGGTGAAGAACCAGAATCTGGGTGAAGAACCAGAATCTGGGTGAAGAATCAGGATCTGAGTGAAGAATGGGGTCAGGAGCTGCGATCTGGGTGAAGATCCAGGTGAGGAACTGGGATCTGGGGTGCAGGATGGGGTCAGGAGCTGGATCTGGGTGAAGATCTAGGTGAGGAACTGGGATATGAGTGCAGGATGGGGTCAGGAGCTGGGATCTGGGTGAAGATCCAGGTGAGGAACTGGGATCTGGGTGCAGGATGGGGTCAGGAGCTGGGATCTGGGTGAAGATCCAGGTGAGGAACTGGGATCTGGGTGCAGGATGGGGTCAGGAGCTGGGATCTGGGTGAAGATCCAGGTGAGGAACTGGGATCTGAGTGCAGGATGGGGTCAGGAGCCGGATCTGGGTGAAGATCCAGGTGAGGAACTGGGATCTGAGTGCAGGATGGGGTCAGGAGCTGGGATCTGGGTGAAGATCCAGGTGAGGAACTGGGATATGAGTGCAGGATGGGGTCAGGAACCAATGACTGGGTGAGGATTTGGGTCAGGGACCAGAATGTGGGTGAGGAACTGGGATGTGGGCGCAGGATGGGGTCAGGAACTGGGGGGATCTGGGCGAGGATCTGGGTGAGGAACCAGGATCTGTGTGCAGATCAGGAATCAGGGTCTGGCTCACGTGCATGATGTGGGTGCTGCTGTTGAAGATGCTGATGTAGGACTTGAGGATGTCGAAGTGGAAGGCGGGTGTCAGCAGGCGCCGGTGCCGGGCCCATTTGTCCCCACGACTCAGCAGCAGCCCATCCCCTGTGCGGGACACTCAGCTCCATTCATGGGGGCACCCATGGGTGCTGCCTCCCCATCCCCGGGCACCCACTCACCCAGCCAGGGCTTGAGGAACCCGTAGAAGAGTTTGTCCTTGGGGGCAATGAAAGCTGCGGGACAGAGCACGGCGGGACACGGTCATATTTTTGGGATCTGGGGACCCTCGGGGACAGCTTGGTGGCCGCCATAGGATGCGCGTCTGGGCCCAGGCGACACCTCCAGGCGATGGCCATGGGGACCCATAGGTTGGTGTCCCCCACGTCCCCCCATGCCCACATCTTGGTTACCTGAGGCCATCAGCACGGGGCGGAGGGTGTCGGGGTGGAAGAGGCGGAGGACCGGCAGCCATGGGGACACCCACCCAGAGGCAGCCATGACGGTACTGTGCCACCATCTTGTCCACATCCTGCAGTCCTTCCTCCGTGTTCCGTGCCTGCGCCGTTAGGGACACACGTGGGGACACGCCTGGCTGTCCCCAGGGCTGCATCCAACCTTGGGGACGTGTTTGTCCCCAAGGTGATGGATGGGCTTGGGGTCACATTTCCATGCCAGCGCTGTGTCCCCTCTGTCACCCACCCGTGTGCCACTGTCACTTATCTATATGGCCACCCCCATGTCCCTGCTGTCACCCCCAGGTGTCACTGCCCTGTCCCCACTGTCACTCCAGGTAACAACAGCCCAAGTGCCACTGTGCTGTCGTTGCCATCATCCCAAGTGCCACCACTCTGTCACCACTGTCCCCCCTCAGGTGTCACTGTCCTGTTCCTATCACCACCCCAAGTGCCACCACCCTGTCCCTGCTGTCATCCCAAATGCCACCACTTTGTCCCCCTTAAGTGCCACCACTTTGTCCCTGCTGTCACTCCCTAAGTGCCACCATCTTGTCCCCCCAAACCCTGCTAAGTGCCACCACACCACACTACTGCTGCTGTCTCCCCTTAAGTGTCACTGCCCTGTCCCTGCTGTCACCCCTCCAAGTGCCACCACCCTGTCCCTGCTGTGACCACTCCAAGTGTCACCTCTCTGTCCTCTTTATCACCCCCTAAGTGCCACTGCCCTGTCCCTGTTGTCACCCTAAGTGCCACCATCCTGTCCCCTCTGTCCCTGCTACATGCCACCACCCTATTGCTGCAATGCCCCCTCGAGGGCCACCACTCTGTCCTCTCTGTCACCCCATAAGTGTCACTGTCCTGTCCTTGCTGTCATCCCAGTTGCCACCACCTTGTCCCTCTGTCTCCCTTAGTGCCACCACCCTGTCCCTGCTGTCACCCCAAGTGCCATCACCTTGTCCCCCTGTTGCCCCATAAGTGCCAACATTCTGTCCCTGCTGTCGCTCCAAATGCCACCACCTTGTCCCCTCTGTTGCCTCATAAATGCCACCACCCCGTCCCTGCTGTCACTCCAAGTGCCACCACCCTGTCCCTGTCCCCGTTGTGACCTCCCCAAGTGCCACCACTCTGTCCCCCTCTGTCCCCCCTAAGAGCCACCGCTCTCTCCCTACCATCACCCCCAAATGCCACAACTTGGTCCCCTCTGTCACCCCATAAATGCCACCACCCCGTCCCAGCTGTCACCCCCATGCCACCCCCCACCCGCGCCCCCTCACCATCCCGGTGTGTCCCAGCAGCCAGCTGCGCCATGGTGGCAGAGGGAAGTGACGCAGCTGCTGGCAGGTGGCCCGGAAACGGGTGACAGCAGCCGCTGCATCCCTCAGCCAGACCACCAGCAGGGTCACCAGCAGGGCCACCAGCAGCCAGGACGGCACCATCATCACTGCTGGTGAGTGACACCAAACCAGGGGCGAAGGTCGGGGTGACGGTGTGACGTTGTTGTCATGTGGTGTCACCACGTGCCTCCCGGTGCCATTGTGCCACCGTGTGCGTCCCGGCGGCGTTGTCCCCTCCACGCGTGTCCCGGTGCCATCCTCACACCATCCATGTGTCCTGGAGGCTCCGTCCCTCCCTCCCTCCCCTTAATCCCTGTGCCTTCTGCATCCACCCCACCCCCACGCTGGGATCCAGTTCGACCAGTCGTGCAGGAGCTGGGGGTGTGGACAGCGCTGTGTGCACCAATGCAGCAGGAACACGCGTGCACACGCGTGCATGTAGGCACCTGCGCGTGTGCATGTGTGCAAACGCGCACCCCATGCCTGCACACGAGCTCACACACGCAAACCTCCCTTTCACAGACACCCATGCGCAGGCACGCACAGTGCACATACGTTGCACACATACGTGTGCACCCAGTGCACACACACATGGCACGCACATGTGCACACTTTGCCCCCCCCCCCCCCCGTGAGCACGCAGGGCACAGCGCCCACGTGACACCGCGGGGTGGGACAAAGTCCATAGGGCACCATGCTCTGCTCTGCTGCTGCTGCTGTTCTCCTGCTGCTGGCGGTGCTCAGCGCCCGCACCCAAGCAGGTAAGGGACACGGGGACACCGCGCTGCCTTGTGGCACCCTCGACATGCCGCTGCCTGGCACCACGTGGCACCACACGGCACCACACGGCACCAACACTCAGCACCACATGGCACCACACGGCACCTCACAGAACCACGTGGCACCACATGGCAACACACACTAACACATGGCATCACATGGCACCACATGGCACCACATGGCACTGCATGGCACCACATGGCACCACATGGCACCACATGGCACCACATGGCACTGCATGGCACCATATGGCACCACATGGCAACACACGGCACCTCATAGAACCACGTGGCACCACATGGCACCACATGGCATCACATGGCACCACATGGCACAATTTGCTAACACCTGGAACTACATGGCATTGCATGGCACCACACGGCACCACACGGCATGACACACTAGCACATGGCACCACATGGCACCACATGGCACCACATGGCACCACATGGCACCATATGGCACCACATGGCAACACACGGCACCTCACAGAACCACATGGCACCACATGGCACCACATGGCACCGCATGGCACCACATGGCACTGCATGGCACCACACGGCACTGCATGTCACCATATGGCACCACATGCAACACACGGCACTGCATGGCACCATATGGCACCACATGGCAACACACGGCACTGCATGGCACCATATGGCACCACATGGCACCACATGGCACCGCATGGCACCACATGGCACCACATGGCACCACATGGCACCACATGGCACCGCA